AGTGGGAAGGGCGGGGGTCACTGGGAGCATGGCCTGGAACAGTTCATCTCCCTCTGTAGCTCCTCCCTTCTTTCTCTGCTTCCTGTCCACCGTGAGGCGAGCAGCTGTCCTCCTCCAGGCCCTTGTGCCAAACCGTCCTGCCTTGGAGCAGCAATATGGACTGAAACCGTGAGCCACAATAAACCTCCTTTAAGTTGTAGGTGTTGGCATTTCATCCCAGCCACAAGGAAAGGGGCTGAGACAAGCAGAGTTACTTACAGATAGTTGATAATAGACGACTGTTTGACCTATTCAGTGTGCTTCTATTACTGCTCCGAAGTATGCTCCTAGCCTGCTTGGTTTTAGAAACGGGTGGCTGTGAAGCAGTATGCTGGCTCCTGCTGCGGCTTCCCGTGATTTCAAGACCTGGCCCCAGGAAAGTAATGTTGTCCAGATCTATGTAAACACACTGTGAGGCTCCCACAACCACCAATTACCCAGTAATCCTCTTCTTGGAATTTGTCCCCATCATTAGGTGACACCTACCTGGTTTTCTTGCTGGAGAATCTCTCCTCTAATCTCTGTAAATACCTCTGCCTTTCAGACCTTATATGCAGCAGAGTCTGTGTGGGTGTTCTTACCCCAGTGACTGGCGCCTTGGGGTCAGAACGCGCGTGGTCACTCCCGTTAGTGTCCCTGTGAGGGGCGGCATAGTGCCATCACATGAGGCACTCATGAAGAGTGTACTGGGCTGAATCAAGCATTTCTACCCATCTGTGGGGTCCACAGACCCATTATTCAGTGCAAATGCACTCATTCCCCTGAAACTTGTGGTTAGGATATCTTACTATCTTGAACCTGGACCACTATTCCATTAGAACGCCTCCATATCCTCATCCTGGGATGTTCGTCAGGGCAGCTGCCACTGTGAGAGGTGCCGATTTCATTGTTTGGTCAGTTGAGGGCTGTTTCCCAGGAATTGCTGAAAAGCCAGTTGTTGGTTTCTTAGATCCAACTTCTGCTGACAGTTGATAGACATTTCCTGGGAAAGCGGGTGAGATTAAGGAAGTGAGTGTTGGGTACCTGGAGAACAAAATAGATTTGAATGCTTAAAAAAATAAATCTCCAACTTCAATCTAGAAGCTTAAATTCCTACTTCTCTATTTGCTCATCAGATTGAATTAGATATGTTTTATCAAATAAAAACCTGCTGATACCAGAGGACACTTTGATTATTTAGCCATGCAAAATGTTTATAATCTGTTGTTTTATTCTGGGAAGGGGGGAACATGATCTGAAAATACTGACCTGGATTCCTTAGGTAAAATTAGCAAATATTTTCTTTGTAGAGGAGTGCATTGCTCTGGAGTATGGATTAGGCAAATGCAGTGGAATTCAGAAATCTTTTTTTTTTTTTTTTTCTAAAATGGAGAAAAACTCACAGTTCTCTCACACCTAAGTAAATGAAAGAGGCTCTGTGGAGTTCCTAGAGAGGAATTATTAACGCAGCCAGAAGGGTCTACCTTAGCATGGCTAGCTGTGAACTTGGGCAGCATGGAACTTTCCAGAAGGCTGACTGGTCCTGAGAGGTGCGTGAGGAGGAATTCATTTCATGCTCTGTGGAGTTTGGTGTCCTGAGGTCTCGCTGCTGCTGCAGTGCATGACCAGGGGAGTGACCACTGTGTGTCTTAACGGGAGGAAGGGTGTAAATGTGCATGGGAGCCCCAGGGACCGCAGAGCCTAGGGTGCGCGCTGTGACTCTCACCTGCTGAGAGGGGCGCCGGGTCTCACACGGGCTGGGCCACTCCCTGGGCCCGGTTGTCAGGGTGAGACCAAACTTTCCCGTTGGTGGGCTCTTGCTCCTTACGCCCTTCCGGACTTTGGATTTCTGGCGCTGCCTCCTGCCTGCTGCCCTGTACTTGCTCCGCATGGAAATATTTCAGTCCTCTTTGGACTGATTCCGCAACCTGGGGGACTCCTCCCAAAATCCGTGTCACCACACGTTTCCTCTGGCACCTCGCTGCAGCTCGCTTTCATCTCACAGATGCGGGCAGCAAGGAATTAGGGCGTAGTACGCATTTGCGGCATCGTTTTTAGGGAGCACCCCCACCCCGAATCCTGCTCTGAACTAGCTCCTCTGACGTTCAATTTTAGTGAAAGACAACCTTGGTTTTTAAAGTGAAATTAATCATCTAAAGGTTTTTCTACACAGCCAGTGCTGACAAAGCCATGGTTTCCTCCTCCTTCCCTCTGCTCCCCTCCGCTCCTTCTCTGCCTCCTTCTCCCCCTCCTCTCTTGCTGGGCTGCGACTGAGGCTTGAGTGCAGGGCCCGGTGCTTGCCAGGCAAGCGCTCAAGCCCTGAGCCTCACTGCTAGCCCAAATGGAGTGTTTCAAAACCTGCCCAGCACAAAGAGCTTCCAGGTGCTGAGCCTGACAATGACAAACTGCCCGCAAGCTGATGTTTGGTTTGTGCCCCTGACGTCCGAGCTGCTTTCTCTCAGGACAAAAACTGCAGCGTAAGAGAATGGGACCCCTCGCCTCCTACCCCATCCAGGGAACTAAAGGGTGCTCTGCATAGGAAGCGGAGTGTCCGGCAGCCCGTGAGGTGAATGTAGAAAAAGACTTGAGGGCCTGCTGTTGGTAGAGAAAGGCACCCTTAGTTCAGTCCCTGTAGCCTTGGTGTCTCCCCTCACTTGACCCATCCGGGACAGGGAATGGGTTAATAGTGCCGCAGATCTTATGTATGTGTGGAATGCAGGACACAGGGCGTGACCTTTGCTGCATGGACAAAGCACCACAGTTGAAAGCATGTTCTGCTTTTAAGTTATTAGCTCAAGTAGAACTCGAACCAGATTACTTGAGCTTTTTGGTCCTGCAGAGTATTTATCTCATTATTAGACAATAAGTATCATCTGCTGCTACCCGGCAGGCACCATGCTCAAGTATTTACCTGTCACTTTAGCAACTGTACTGTTGCATAAAATATGTGTCAACAAGGTGTGTTGTAACCCCAACTAGATAGAGGAGAAGCTGAGGCAGGAGGGTCACTGGAACCCAAGGGTTTAGAACCAGCCTAGGAAACCTAGTGAGACCACATCTCAAAAAACAAACAAACAAACAAATGCAAAAAGCCAAAACAAAATTGTGTGACTGTTTACAAAAATAATTATTTGAGAGAAATGGCACAATTAAACAGTGATTCATTTGGTTTCCTCATTTTTTTTGAATGCTTTTTAATTTTAAAAAAAGTCCCTGTAAAGGAATATGATTAAAATAACCAATTTAAAATTAAAAATGAATATAGCCAGGGATGGTGGTGCACACCTGTAATCCCAGCACTCGGAGACTGAGGCAGGAGGATTGCCATGAGTTTGAGGTCAGCCTGGGCTACAAAGTGAGTTCAAGGCCAGCCTGAACTCCATAACAAGGAAAAAAACCACATTAAATAATATTTGTTGTAAATCTGTGTTATGCTTCAATATTAAGAAAATGCTCTAGACTTTTAACTTTTCTATTGAGAGGCATAAAGTCAAGTTCATTGACTTGGATAGAATCCTTGTATCATGTTAGAACTGCCAATGAGTAACTCTGTTTTATGTGAAAAGTTTTTTAGAGACCACCTAATAAAATTTTAAAAATAAGAACATGTTCTGTTTTTTCTTACACAGCACCTCTTACAAAAATGATTTTTAAAATAATTATTTTAAAAATAATTTAAATAATTATTTTAAAAATAATTTAAATGATTGAAATATTTTAAGATGAAATATCACCAAGTATACTAGACACTACCTAAAAATGTAAAAATTGAAGATATAAATAAAGCCTTTTACCGAACTACATTTGTACTGTGCTAGTTTTCAAATTTCACTGGAAAACAAACATTTCAGACATAGTATTGACCATACGCCCTTTACAAAGACAAGTTTATATTCTGTGACCTTTGCAGGTCAAGTTCTAGTAAACGAGAGCAACCCCACGGCTCTAACACCCTCTCCATGTTGTCTGTGGTATTCTTTCTGTAGAAGTTTCTAGATTGCTAAAATCTTCCCAGCTATTATCTCCTTTTACCAAGCTAAAGCTAAGGCAGTCCTAGGGAACCTAATGCAGATATTTTTCCCATGGTCATGCAAAAATAATTTTCTGAGGAGTTTGGACCCGGTACCAATCCCAGCTGCTTAAAGATAAAATCCATGGGGACAAAGGGACTCTATAAGTGCAGAGATGAAGAGAAATTTGAAAACTGGGTCTTTGTGTTCTAAAGTTTTATTCACCAGAGAAAACAGTCAGTAATGAAAGTGAAGGGAGAAAAGCATCTTAGATAATTATGGAAATAACTGGTCATGGGGTACCCAGAGGCGATGACGCCCCTTATCTAAAGGGAGGGTATGCGATTTCTGTGCTCCAAATGTGCATTTGAATTTTGATTTAAAAATCTATCTTCCCAACATTTTATTATGAAAATCTGCATCCTAAGAGTAGAAAGCGTGGTGCAGTGAAGGCCCAGCCTCCACCTGCATTCTACAGTGAACATTTTTCTCGGTTTTCTTTATTGACTGTCCATCCATGTATCCATCTCTCTGCTCATCCACCAAAATGAGTAGGGGGCATAAATACTAAATTTCTAAGCATTTTAGTGCATACATCAGTATAAGTTTGTGATCCTTTTTATTGAGATAAGATTTGTGTGCACTAAGGTCTTCACAGGTCTGCCCGAATTGTAGATGTACTCGTTCTGATTCTTTCCCACAGCTGCGTCTGCCTGTCCTAAGATTCAGAACGTACGCCTCCCTTCTCCCGAGGAGTCTGCCTGCACCCCTGGTTTGAGGGGTCAGTCCCTGGTCCTGAGGCTGGTGTTCACACTCTTCTCAGAGAGCAGTTGGCTTGTCCCAGAGTTCACGTCCCGTGTGTCCTGCTTTGAGTCCGGCTTGCTCCGCTCAGTGCATGGGTCTGCAGTCTGACGTGGTTCAGCTGTCCTGAGTTGGGCTGTTCGGATGACCAGGTTTCTTTTTGCCTTGCAGGCCTGTTCCCCGCCATTCTCAACCTGGCCACCAATGCCGAGATCAGTGCCAACGCCACCTGTGGCGAGAAGGGCCCTGAGATGTCCTGCAAACTCGTGGAGCACGTGCCTGGCAGGCGTACACGCAATGCCCAGTGCCAGCTCTGTGATGCCAGCAGCACTAACCCCAAAGGTAAGCAAGGCTCTTTCCCAGCTCATTTTGTTGTTTTATGTTTATTTTATGTTAGGCCATGCTGTGCTCAGTTATTGCATTTCATTGTTTTAGATCAACGTTTTTCAGTGCACCCTGGCCTCACACCTGCTCATGGAGCCGGCGCCCACCCTGGTGGCTTTCTGGGGGGCTAACTGAGGCTTTCGCTAGTGGCCGTGAATGTGGCATTCGCTGTCAGGGCTGTTTGTTTCCATGATGAGTTTCTAAGTTTGAGGATTTGAGGCAAGAGCTGAGGAGAATGCATGTTTTTATTTTCTTTTTTAACAGAGCACCATCCAATATCAAATGCAATTGATGGCACCAATAACTGGTGGCAGAGCCCCAGTATCCAGAATGGTCGAGAGTATCACTGGGTCACCATCACCCTGGACTTAAGACAGGTAGGTCAGGCCGGAGCTGCTGGAGGGGATCAGCTGCAGAAGGTGGGTTGGCAGCGGCTGCCAGCAGCATCTCCCTCGTTTCTCACCTTGTATACACTCTGATCCCCTTGCTGTGGTCACAGGAGTAGTTCGTTGACAGCATTTCTTGTCACCTGTGGAGACGGGTGAAATTGCCTCCCTGTGGCCAGTGTCCTTTGCACCTCCATAGTGGGAGATACTCACGGTTCAGGATGTTAAGCCAGGCAGTGCACAGGACAACCTGGGAAGGGGAAGGTACAGGGCCAAACGCACACACTGCTCCCATTCAGGCTGACGGTCCTACTGTCATCATTATGCAGAGTTAGCACGCCAGGGCTCAGCACAAGAGCGGGAGGTGTTAAACCTCTCGGCTGTGCCTCACCCAGGCCAGATGCATCTGTCAGGGCCTGGCGCAGGTGGGAGCTGCGTGGGACCATTCGGACAGCACCATAAGTGTGTTGGGGGAAGGCCAAGTCCACTGTGATCTGGTGTCTTCTACCCTGACTTCAAGGCCATGGGGGAGAATGGAAAAAGATATGAGCTATTGTTGCCTTGTATTTTTAGAAAAGATGAAGGGAAAGAAGTCTGAACAGAAGAGGTGAAAAAGAGACAGGGAAGGGCTGGGGATTCAGCTCAGCGGCATAAGCGCCTGCCTTGCAAGCGTGTGGTTGTGAGTTCGATCTCCAGTACAAAAAAGAGAAGGGAGATATTTTGTAGCTGCTGTCAAAGTTTTGGATTGGAGTTCTTTGTAAAAGCCGTTGCCTGATGTTCTTATTTCCATCTGAATTCCCATGAGTTGGAACTCACAGATTTTGCATAAATTATTTAGATGAGTTGAAAGAAGTAAACAGTTGAGGTGAACATTGTAAGATTGAAACAGGAATTTTGGAGATTTGTGACAATCAGAATTCCTTGAGTAGGTGATAGTTTTAAAAGTGCACAGGGTTTTAAGCAGAAGGCAAAAGGATGGTGTGTGCAGTTAGGTATGAGAAATGTTTGATCTCCGGGAACTATAGTGAATGATGGAGTAAAGCGGGAAGCTCACGTGTGCGATGGTATGGCGAGGTGTCCTCCAAAGGTGTCACTGTCATGGTGGCATCATTGGGAAGAAATGGCACCTTTAGGAGGTGCGGCCTGGAAGGAGGAAGCTGGTCACTGGCCATGTGCCTTTGAGGGGGATGTGGGGCCTTGACCCTTTCCGGTCTCGCTCTCACTTCTGGGGCTCCCTGAGGTGAGCCGCTTCCCCTCCACGCCCTCCTGCCATGGTGTAAGGCCTCATCCCGGGCCCTGACAGGTAAACTGGCCATGGACTGAAGCCTTTGAAATCATGAGCCAAGACAAAGCTTTCCTTCGTATCTCAGTGTTAGAAATCTGGGCCAGGCAGTGAGTTTGGCCAAATTAAAAACTGATCATTTCCCATCTAGACCTCAGAACTTTCAAGACTGTCCTTTGTGTCGACATAGGTCTGGCTGAGGTTTCTCCTGGGAGAAGCCATGTGAGGAACTCCAGAAAGGAGCATCAGTTTTAGATCTCTGAGCCATATTTAAAAAACAAGCATGGTTATCGTTCTTTCTAAGTAAGCTCTGGTATTTTGAGGTAAACTTTTAAAAAGAAGATAATTAAAACAGTCACCACTCAGAGGTTCTTTACCTCTTGCACAGTACAAAAATCCTTCTGTGCTGATTTTTGTAAAGAAAATTAAACTGTTTATACCTTGGCAAGCCTTTCTGAAGCTTATTTATTTATTGAGCCTTTTAATTATGAGACTTTTTAATGTGTAGAAAGCACATTACAGTGAACACACGTAGACCCTGCCCTTGAGGTGCAGGGAATTTTAAGCTTTTTGCTCCATTTGTTTTGAATGAGTTGCAATCACCAGGACATTTCACCAGCATCTCAGTTTGTGTGTTTAAAAGATGAAGACATTTGTTTTGAATAGATACCATGCCATTAACCCCCATCACAAAGTTAATAGTCACTTCCTAATAACTTTCACCATCCGATTTTGCCAATTTTTCCATTAATGTCTTCTGTAGCTTTTTTCCTTTCTGACCAGCCACCCTTGAGGGGTCTTACATTCGGTTGTTATCATTCTCAGCTCTCTTCTTACCTGAACTGGCCTCTACTTTTTTGTAAACAGTATTGAATTTTTGAGTCAACAAGGCCATTTTGTATTGTGGGACATGGCGCGGAGTAGATATGCTCACTGGTTTTATGTAAGGTGCTCCTTGCTGCCCTTGGTTTCTTGTCAGCTAAATTCAGGCTCAGGCTCCTGATGAACTGCCATTAGATGGTTCTAGCGAGAGCACCCCACTGGGGGAGCTTGGCGCTGCCTCCCCTCCTCGGGTGGCCATGCCGATCCCCATGAGCAGCGATGCTAACTCCGAACCCTGCCGGCCTGGCCTGCAGATGGCCAGCTCTTTTCCTGCTAAAGTTGTCCCCTGGTCACTTGCACATTGCTCCCTGTGGCCTCGCTAGTGCACAGATCTGGAGCACAGCTACTTGCCTAGGACGCTTTTTTGGCTGCTAAAATCTGCGTCTCCCTGACAAAGCCAGCTGACACTCAGCATGTTTATTTCCAGATTACAGGTGGCATGACTGAGGAATACACATCATTTTTTCTTTAAAAATTCAAGACAGTAAAAGACACTGCCACGAATTCCCCACAAAATCCTCGTCCTCCCCACCAAACACACTTGTCCCGTGGCTCCTTCTACTGTCCGAAGCCATTCCAGAGTGCTCTCTGGTGAGCGTCTCAGCTGTGCCCTTGTGGTCGCATGCGTGTCCAGAATAGATGCCGAACTTTTCCCTTTCCTGGCCATGCTGACCATGGGAGGGGCACTGCGAGGGTCCTGGGACTGCAGTGGAGGAGGACGCACTGTCAGGTTTGGACGAGGCTGCTTTTCTGGTCAGCGCCCTCAGCAGCCCTCACCGTATTTTTTATCACGTTTCGTGGATTTTCACAGAAGAGGGTTCCAGAACTGCTCTAGAAAGGGCCAGAGCAAGGGGGCGGATGGCAGTGCCTGTGGAACTTTTTTTAGTTGAAACATTCACAGCATATTTCAGTCTATGTTTCTGGAGAGCAGGGCCTCGGCTGTCTTCCTCCTGTTCTTTTCTTTCCGTTTTCCTTCCCTGTTAACGTTGGAGGTTGTCTTCCTGCCTTTCGCACACTCAGATACTGACGGTTTGGGCACGGGCTGGTGTGTGGCCCGGTGGGGTTTTTTCCCTTATGCTTCACTCCTGATCAGAAGTGAAGCCAACAGGCTCCTGATGGCCTTGCTTCAGTCCTGTAAAAATGTGACCTCTAAAGACCAGGTTTCTGGAGGAAGACGATAGACAGACCTTAACGTCATCAAACGCAGCAGGAAAACTTACTGTAAACAACTTCCATGGTTCCATAAATACCCCGGCTCCTGAGTTTCCGTGACCAGCTTGGCTCTGTTCCTCGTGGCAGTGCCAAGGACATTGATCCTGTTCCTATTTCTCTAGTCGATCACAGCTATTGAAATCAGTATTTTTAACCTGTATGTATGTTTGGTTTTCTGCAAGATAAATTAAAGATTCAGAGTTGTGCTGTCAGAAAGTTTATAAATGTTGTGTGGTTTGCAATACAGGTTACTACAGTGTTTGTCTTAGTAACGTAAGACAAGAAGAATGATTAGATTTATTTCTCTGCTTCGTATAAGTAAGACCTGCTGTTCATTTTCAGTGATTTACACTTTAGATGTTGCACTTGGAAATATCTTATTTTTTCAAACAAGTCCATGGGAATTGGATGCGTGTGTTAATAAAAATGAAGCCGACTCAACTTGAGCAGCTTTTACAGATGTGAAGCTGACATTAATGTGTTCATGGTGGGGCCATCATCTGTATGTCTCACTGTCGGGGGCTGTGGATCACTGGGGAACCCCTGTGCTTGGGAGGCGTGGGACAGTCCCACCCCGAGGTATGAGCTGCCTGGTGGACCCATGTGCCCGCCAGCAGTTCAAGGTGTGGCCAGCATTGGTGGAATGCTGGTCACCATCCTGTGATGCAGGGCTTGCTCATGAGCACTGCCACCGAACCACAGTGCTCAGTGATGTGTGCTGATGACTAAAATTGAAAAGGCATCATTCTGAGAGAGAACACGGATTCATGGGTCCTGGATTTCATGATTTTCAAAATCCTTTTAGGCCCCTCTAAGTGCTCTCTATGACAATGTATCTCAGTAGAATAAGGATTTTTGGTTTGAGGTCTGGGAGCTCAGTGGTAGAGCCCTTGCCTAGCAAGAGCAATATCCTAGGCTCAGTCCCCAATGTGACATAAAATAAAATAAAATAAACTGCCCATGATGGCCATGCCTGTAATCTCAGCTCATGCGAGGCTGAGGCAGGAGGACTGTCATGAGTTCAAGGCCAGCGTGAGACCCTGTCCTGAAGGGAAAAAAAACAAAAACAAAACTGAATCAATAAAGAATAAAGTACTCATTCCAGTTTGAGGAACATATGAAAGCTGAATGCACTGGACAGAGGAAACATTGCTCAAGGTCATTAGTCATAAGGGAAATAAAAGTGAAAAGTCACAATAAAATACAACTTTGTATCTATTAGATTGACTGTGATGAAAAAGACTGAGAAGTGTGGGCAGGGACATGGGAAGTCTGCGGGGCTCTGCACCGTGGTCCGATGTGAAGAGGCCCGGCACAGTGGGAACAGTATGGTAGCGCCTCAGAACTCAGGCAAAGGGGTCAGGGGTCTAGCTTATTGGTGCAGCGCTGCCTGGCAAGCGCATGGTTCTGAGCCGGATTTCTGGTATCCCCCAAGAGAAACTAAAATAAAGAAATCAAGCAGAGAATTGTTACTTGAGTCAGCAGGTCCACTTGGAGGGAAGAGAATACAAGGACTCAAACAAATGCTTGTACGCTGGTTCCATAGCAGCGAGAAGGTAGAAGCAACCTGCAAGTCCGTCGGCCGATGGCTGGGGTGGACATAGCGTAGTCTGTA